CATATTTTATGCATCTCACAAAGTAAATTAACCAAAGTGAGTTGAGAATGATATAATGTATTATCTATTAGTTTTTTTAAAAGTAATTAATCTAATTTTACTTCCAAAAAAATTAGTTAATTTGCAATCAGATTTTTTACTTAAAGTTTATGAAGGCTGGAAAAATTTGATCCGTTGTGGTCTAGTGGTTAGGATTTGCGGCTCTCACCCGCAAGGCCCGGGTTCGATTCCCGGCAACGGAATTGCCGGTTTTTATCATTTCCAGTTATTGAAATTGATCTAACAAATGAACTGAATTGGTATTTCTTGTCTTGCTAATATTTAAAGTTTGTATTATGTATTCTCGTTACGGCAGAGCTGTCATTGAAGCTGTTTAATCAACTCCAGTTGTACTTGAAAAGAAGAATGCGAAATATTTGTGAAAGTGATTGGTTCATTGTGTTTTAATTCATAATTTTCAAATTTTTGACCCGTAATTTTAATAGTTTAAAGTGAAATGTTGACATTAATAAAATCTATTTCAGACTATACCAATAAAAAAAAGCAGGATTATTTTTAATTGATTTGTTTCACTGGAAGTAGTGATAAGAGGATTGATTACCTATGATCCTTTTTATAGCACTTTTTGTAATAGAGTTTAATAAGCAAGATGATTAAGCAGCAACATATCCTTACTGATCCTATAATGCCTATCACTAATAACTACAATGACACATTGATAAGAAAAAAAATTTTTTTTTGCAACTGAAAATTGATACTGTTCGCAGTGTTTCATTAATGCATGCAAATATGGAAATGCATTTGAAGGTATTAGCCAAGATAAATAAAGGACAAGTTTAATGGGTGAGAAATGATTGAAAGATTATTGTTGGTACAATTATCGCTTCATCAAATCCGGAAATGTTTTGTTGTGAATTTCGATTACGACAATTGCAAATGATTTTGTCGAATGCATCTCTATAGTGTATTACATACAGTTCATACAGAATCTATCATATAATATATGAATTATAAGAATATTTGTAAAACAGAACGAGAATTTAAGTTATGGAGAGAAAGAGGGAGAGAGAGAGAGAGATAAAAAGGTAGATTAATTAATTTTATCATAATTCTAGCAAAGATTTTCACTTCTATTCCAAATAGAAATAAGTTATCGAAGTTATAATTAACATCAATCAATAAATGTTAGAAGTTATAATTAACATAAATGTTAATTTAAAAAATTGATTTGTAAACTATAAATATTTGCAAAATATTTGTATAATAATATAGATTTAATAATCAATTCTAAGTTTGATGTTGTATTTTCATCTGTTGTTGTTGTTGTTATTCATTGTTTCAGATAACCAAATTAGAAAATTAGTATATTTGAAAATTTCATGCATTAAATTAAACAGGAACTGGTCAGCAGAACGAAGAATTGTCAGGTAGCGCTTTTTTATGTCCAAATGCAATTTTCAATGAGTAATGTGAAGATTAAATATGCTAATATCGTAATTGTTGCATAAATCAATCACCGATAAGGTGAATTCATTCCTTTATTGTTCAAATGAATTTTTTTTTTTCTTTTTTTTGCACATAAGAAATAATTGAAAGTAATTTTGAATGAAATTAAATAGTCATTCATTTTTCTTTCCCTCGACACAGTGTTGCTATTCCTTAAATTTTTTTCATTAAATAATGTTTTTGTTTACAGTTATTGTTTTATGTTATTTCATTAAACCATATAATAGCTTACCTCTTACTTTTTTATATTTTAACCATAATAACTCTTTCTTCCTTTCTTTAATTTTTTGTTCTTCTGCACTAACAGTTTAGATTGTTTAATTATAATTAAATTTGAAATTTTGAATGGATTATTCGAATACATTTTTAACAAGTGTAAACTAATCAATTCTCTAAATTACAACAATAGTTTCCTCATGAGAGAATATAACAATTATGTGCTTTACACTGATCATATAAGCATAATTTGGAGTGACTGTGGTTAGTATATGAAGGATACAAATACAGTAAATGATTCATGTTAGCATTATTGATATATTAAAAATAAGACGGATATTGATTACTCATCAAGAACTACTCATCGAGAACTGTCATTTGAAGTACTCATCGAGAACTGTCATTTGTTCTTATGATCATCTTATTGCTATAATTTTAACAAGTACAAACTAAACAATTCTCTATATAACTTCAGTAATATGAACTGATCAATTCTCCATATACCTTTAACAAATATCAACTGCCATGTTTCCGGTTCAAGAAGATATCGGATGATTTGGAATCGTCTGATTTCTTCAATCGGAAACGGATGACTTCTTTACTTTTATGTATATGAATTTTTCATCGAAAAATTAACTGCAAATTAAACCTAAATCTATAATTCAATGACTTGGAACTAATATATTTCAAATATATGCAAATAATACGAAATGAATTACTGTACTAATAATGTCCTCTGGAAATATGAATGGAATGCAAAAGAAAGCTAAGTAATTGATAAGAACAAAAAAACCAAATAAACACGTTATTTTTTTGAAGTATCGATACTATGTACTCATTTTTTGCAGAATATCAATTGAATATTTTATATAGGAATTATTAAAAATATTTTTCACTTTTGAAAATACCATTCAATTATTCTCATTCATTTCACATCGAATTGGAATTTTGTAACAAATGAGTACATATTAATAATTAATATTAATTGCACTCCATTCATCTCATATATGTATATATTACGTTATTTATATAAAATATCGATTCCAATAATAACATTTATCATTTTACACTTTGGCTAATGTAAAATTTTAATGTTAAATAAATTTGTGCAATTTCACAAAAACGTGGAATGATATAATGTTGGAATGTATTAACGAACATTCTTCTCCTCTAACAATTTTTGATTATTTTCATTTTGTATTAATTACCAAATTTCGTAGTTCCGATCAGTATTTCTTGATCAATTACCACCTTTCTGGCGCCAATGCACTCATCCATGTGGACAAAAGAGAATGAAAGAAAAAAAAATTACCGATTGTGCTGAAATTTCGATAATGACGTAAATTTACAATTTTTCCATTTCTTTTTGTTTTGTTTTTTTTTTGCTGTTCATATAGCTTTATAATGAATTATAAATTAACAATAAATTGCAAATTATAAAAAAAGAGCCTTATGATAAATTATAAATTAACAATATCAATTCAAATCATTCACGGCAAATCATTACGAAATGTTCATCCATTTAAATAAGCAAATAAAAGTTTTTTTTTTTTTGCAATTATTATATAATACTATCATAAATATTAACGAAAAAAAGAGCGAAGAGCATTTTGATAATCATTTCATTTTAATTGATTTATCAGTTAATAAAGATAATGAATGATAATTCTTCCTTTCGTTCTCTTCATTTCTCTCCCTTTGAAACTATTTTGACAATAGCACCCTCAACAATGCATTGAAATTTTGCATTTCCTCTCAATAATTCTCACATACTGCACTTTCCACATCATACTTTTTTTTTTGTTTTTTGTTATTGTTGTATTTATATCAATCAATTCATAAATTAAACAATTTTTACACTTTAATATATTTACGTCTGATCATTTAAAAGTGTGAATTATCCTATTTAATTTGGTATTGTATTTTTCGAGGTAATTAATTAAGATTGATGATCGATTTGTAATTGAAATAAAATTGAGCGAAGTGTTATATTTTATGTAACTATTAGAGAATGATTTGAAAACTATGTAACGGTAACAGAGAGGGAAAGAGATTTGCTTGGTTATTTAAAGACAAAACAAAAAAAAACAAAGAAAAAAACTAATTGAATTGTTTGTTATTTCACGAATTAAATGAGAGCATAGAATAAAGGTTAATGATAAAGGTATTTTTCAATTCATATAAAATTATCGAAAAATATAAAAGAGAGATTTTTTCTTTTTTTGGTGAAAAAGGATGATTTCAATGAATGATTTATATTACATAATAAATTGTTTGAGAAATTAGTCTAGACAGCTGTCCCCATTAATATAATTAATCTATTCGAAATAAAGGAAAGAAAAATCGGAAGAAAGTGTATATTTCCCGGGAATTCCCTGTAATTATGATGAGTTTACATTTAATTGATTATTTTTTTCTCTTGAAATATATACAATAATCTGTCGTCAATTTTACTATGAAATTAATCAGCTTAATTAATAGATATGGCAGTAATAGCTAACCTTAAATTATTGATTGAAAGGCTTAAGATCATATTTTAATATGTTGTTGTTAGTATGAATGGTTTTTTTTTTTGTTTATCAAAAAAAAGCTGAAATAGCGATAAAGCGAGAATGCGCAAATATCATTCATTCAACAGAAATAATTATCGTTAAATCAGTTTTACGGATAGAATTTTCGCATAATAAATTTTAGGGTACATCCCTTTCTTTCATCAATTACCACTAACCGATCATCTCACAACGAGTATTACCACGACTACAACTACAATGATGATTACGATGACAAATAACGTTAACTCATCTGATATTCTCACAATCAGAGAAACAAACAGGTTAAAAGAGGGAAAGGGAGAGGGAGAGGAAGAGGGAGAGAAAGAGGGAGGAAGAGAAGAGGACAAAAGAATAGTGTTGTAACATGGAATGAAAATTTGCTCATCCTCAAAATTCCTTTAGAAATTTTATTGAGAAAGGCATGGAAACAGTTTCCATGAAATGCTCCGACAGCTCCGCCTGAATCTCCCTCTCTCTCTCCCTCCCTCTCCCTCTCTCTCCCTCCCTCTCTCTCTCTCTCTCTCTCTCTCTCAAGGTTGGCCTTCATTTTGTTCAACAGATTTGAAGTAAGGTAATAAATATAGTGTGGGTATTCTTCCTATTCCTTCGCAATCTTCGTAGTTTGTGTTGTCAACCCGAATGCTTTATAAGTCAATACTTAACGATCACGATCAGTACCATTGTCTGTTTGTCTGTCAGCCAAGTTATGCATCATTTGCAATCAACATGGTGTCACAATCGCTATTATCATCATTGTTATCATTGTTATCATTATCATCATCATCATCATCATCGTCATCGTCAACAACAACAACTACAACTACAACTACAACAACAACAACAACAACAACAACAACAATAATAACAGCGGCAGGAGGAGGAAGGAGTAGCAACAGTAGTAGTAGTAGTAGTAGCTGCTGTATAACCAATACCGCCACCCATAGAAGTAGAAGTATTGTTACCATGCGATTGTTACTGATCGCTTGTGTCGGACTTATTATCCTATCAGCACCTATTGCTTCCGCTCAGGAAACACCTGCGGAACCAACCGAAGCAAGCGCAGTTGATGATATCAAATCATCATCATCA